AAAAACCCAACTCTGTCCCAAAACACTCTTAAAAAAAAAAAGAGAAAGAAACCTGGCAACAAGTCGCTCCGCTCCCTTTGCCCCTCCATTTGATTAATTCTCATTAGGGCCCTTGAGCAAACAATGTGGTCCCCTCTCGAATAACGGCCAGGGTATAYGTTACACGGCAAGAAAAACAAACACGGCGCGCTTAAGGACATCCACGCGGAGCGCAATTCCTGGAGAGAGCCAAGGGCCCTCCCGAGGCCCAGGCACGCTCACAAGGCCATCCCGATGTCCTGCTGATGGGAAGCCGCCACAGACACATGGGGATGGGGTTTCAGGTGCTTGGCCATCGTACGCTAATGCTTTGGGAGCGGGAATGACACAGAGAGCCCAGCTCCACGGAGAAGAGAGTTGCCAGGAATGGGACACCCTGAGAAAGCCACATGCGCTGCTCCACTGAAGCCCTGGGAGCAGTGGGGAAACTATCCTCTAAAAACTCGGAAAGTCACCTGCAGGTTGGGGCAGTGAATGGGAAAACGAGGGATACACAATGACTTCTCCAAGGCTGCAGTCGTGGTTTCTCCCCAGCTATCTCCAACCTCACAAACAGGACCRATGGAGCAGATGCCCCCATGTAGTCCACGTTCACCAACACAGATTGTAACAAACACCAAAGCAGGGTTCACGTGCACCATTCTTCCCAACATACAACACACCATGGAGTTTGTATCTACCACCCATGGGCAAGGAGAAGACACGGCACAAGGTAAAGGTACCTCACCCACAGGCCCACCTAGTGCTGCTGGCCCACGGGTACAGCCCCTTAGCATCCAGAGCACAACGCAACAGCTGGGAGCAGGCAAACCCCACAAATCATGCCCATGAGCTGTCACACACAGGTTACCCCAACAAAAACAGAGCCCATGACGAGCTCCCAAACACCATGCTAACAATCTCAGCAACACAGCAGAGATGGAATAAGACACAGTCACTCAATCCTCCCACGAGGGTACCACTGTACGTGCTCCAACAGCCGGTATCCTCTAGTGAATAATCTGCGGGTATCACTTAGCCTTCTCCAGCATACCTCTTCCGGCCTCATTCCAAAAGCACAAGGCTGGAATCCAAGGGAAATGTGTAGCTGGGAGGACAGAGTTGTGCCCAGGATTGTCCACACATCCCCTCCAAGCGAGGTGCTCAGCTGCTACCAAAAACAACCCCAACCCTCCCTTCAAGCACACCTTTCTCAACCACTCGCATCCTCCAAACTTTCCAGCRTGGCTTTTCTTGTCCACGTGGGCCCCCTTGGTCAATGGGAACAACGGGAACACAAACAGAGACCAACTGTCCCAGGAAACACACCCAACAGTAAGATCAACAACAGAGGTCTTACCTGAAAGCCCCCCAGGGGCTAGACAATTAGTTCCCCCTGTTTCAGTGGAGGAAGGCACAGAGTCTGGACAATCTGTTGGGGCAGAGGGAAAGAACAAGAATTAAGTATATATATTTGTTCCATAGCATGCCGTAAACAACGCCRAGAGCAGAACACGCATTCCAAGGAGCTGAACAGGAAGCAATTACTAATTGTCTGCACAGACACGGTAGTGCATCAAGACGCATCCACCCTAACTCATGGCCTCCACCAAGGCTYTGCGCTGCACTTCATCACCAGCCAACGATGATTATAGACTGGCAAAGATTACAGACGGGCTGCCATCTTTCTGTCCAAGTTAAAGGCTCATGAAGTGCATCCCGCTGTCCTTATGACATAAGGACTCACTAAGCTTCCCAAGAGCCTAAATCACCACCTTCTCCGTCGAGTTTAGCCGACACCAGCGCTCGCTAAAGCGCAGACTAAAAGGGAAATGGCTAATTGCTACAAAGGGCCTAACGTTAAGTGTCCTTTTGCTGCAAAGGGTCTAATGTTAAGAGTGCTCCCCTCACCAGCTTTGTCATCACTGATTCCCTGCAGATCTCAAATGCCACCGAGCACCTCCTGTGAGCACAACGTGCACCTACGAGGCCTGACCAACAACACGTATTCCTCCACACACAACTGAAAGTACAGGAAAAGGATTGGATGGCTTTGGTCACTACCCCAGAAGACTCAAGCTCAAGGAAACATCACAGCTCAGCAGGGCTGGGGTCAAAGAGATCCACAAAGCTCATGCGCCCTCAAGGTCCTGACAGWCTCTTGGTGAGTTTTGGTTTCATTACATTTGGGTTCCCTACTGACATCATTGCTCATTGCTGCATCTGAAAGAGCAAGGGCCACCACTTGGAGGACCAAGGCCTGGTAAGTCATCTTTCCAGAATTCATCCCCAAAATCCGAGAAAAAAAAAAAAAAAAAAAAAAAAAAGCCCTGTGTGTGTGTATAACCTCATTTTATCAGAGCAAAGTATAAGCCCTAACAGGAATATACAGTTTAACAGGATATACTTAATCAAACCGAAAACAATGGGGGAGACAGGAAATGGACTTACTTGTGAAATACTGTATATTATACACTCGCTAAATGCCTGGTCCTGTTTTCTGGGTTCCACAGAAATACACTGCTGCCTTTTTTTAACCCTTTCCACTTCCTAGTCTGGACAATTCCCTTACACCTGAGATGATTCCCTGACATGATTCCAACCGTTTTGTCTATGGATGCTATCTGAACATAGGCTGGGCTCTCCTACATGTGGTGCACCATGGTGGTCTTCAACCTTCACCTGTCRCATGTGGCAACCTTCTCCACGAGTCCCTGCAAGCCGTGGAAGGTAAAGGGCATGATTTGCCCCTTCCACTTCATCTCACTCTGGAGGTCATACATAGCCAGGTCCTCTTCTAGCACACTGGACACCTTACAGGAGAACAGGATCTAATTCACAAGATGGCAGGAGCGAATCCGATTAGTATGTCCACTTAGGACTTAAAATACATAACCCTAATGATGAGATTTACAGCAGTCCTGCTCCAGTTTGACTCCAAAAACCCGAGCCATTTGGAGTTTCTCCACTGAGGCTAAAAGCAAGGATGGATTCAGGGGCTCCTGAAATATCTGGGCTGTTCCCTCATCTGCAGTAAGAGTCCAAGAAGAACAAAAGTATTTCATTATTGTTTGCTTCTCTTGATAGCTACCAGTTCCCTTCCCATGTCTCACTATCTAACAGCCAGTTTGCTTTATCAATCACAAACATCCTTCTCAAGCAGAGTGCCAGAAGTCTCCCTACAGGACACAGCGCTGACACAGCCTTCACCCTAGAACAAGGGTGATGATCCCATATGGCACAGACAGGAAAGCATGGACCTCCTGAGCTTGTAGCACTAAACGTAGCCAATTTTATCCTTGTGCAATTCATGTCACCCACGGATTAGCCAAGGACTCTTGCTAGTGTGGGCCACTCTGGCTCACTTTATCTTTAGCACTGCAGCAGTCATGGTCTCAAAGGTTTATGCAAGTCTACTGCATGCGAGCCTCTTMCCCAAAATTCTCCTACCACAATATAAAACCATTGCGAAGACATGCAATTATTCCCAGTGGCTACTGGCCCAACCTTGCAAGGTGCCAAATTTTCCCTGGAAGCTGCCAAATCTTCATGATCCCCATGAAAACCCACGCCATGTGAGGGCATGCACCTCTRCAGCGAGCTCTCAGCAGGTGTTCACGCACCACCTCCATCCAGGCTTCCCAAGACAGCGTGAGCACCTCACGTTGGTGGATATCCCGATCAGGACCACCCTGCTATGCTGAGAGAACCACCCCCTTCACTGGGGGGATCTCCTCTGGTCAGCAATGCTGGAGACGCCTTCAGGAGCAGCAYCTAGACAGAGCACGGGACAAGGGCTCCAACAGAGGCTACAGGTGCACCCATACCAGAAGGACAAATTCTCTACTTGAACCCTGGTGTCTGAGGGCACCTCTGTCCTCCCTGCCTCCAACACTGTCATACCGGGCAGCTCCTGGAGAGACATCCTGCCCATGTACACTCCTCCAGATAAGAAATGGAGAGAGTCATCGCTACAACTCCTCCCTGGGAGAGTCAGCTGAGCAAGCCGGCCCAGAGCTACAGCCTCCCGCCGGTAACACGGCTGTCGGAGGGCAGATCATTCTGTTCTAAAGAAAGCTGACGGAACAAATCCATCAATAAGGCACAGGTGACTTTTCAGTGACTATAGCAGCCCCTCTGCCTCCCTCTCTGTCCCACCTTTCCTTAAGCAAATGGCACAGCCTACCTAAGAGGGATACATGCAGCGATGCCTACGTGTCCATCTACACAAAAACCCTTATGAGACTTAGTACCAGCTCTGAATATGTTTATTCCCATTATTGCAGTTCATGGAAGAGCACCATGTTGACTTTCCCTTGAGATGCACCACTCTCTGCCACTTCTGCAGCAATTTCTCTGACACTGCCTGACCATAAATGGAGAGACCATCCCTAACTAACCTCTCGCTGTCCAAGACAGCTCATTTTGATAGTCCATGTAATGGGCTGCAGACCAAGTCGCTGCTCCACTCTCATTCAACTATCCTCAGGTCCAACCATCAACAGGCCAAAGCTTAGGAGCAGAAACAGCGGATGCTCCAGGGTGGCTTTGCCAGCCACACGTCACTGCCACGGTGACCAGACGTTTAAATTCGCTCTTGTTCTAGCCCCGATGGAAGAGGCACCGTGTGTGCACACAGAGAGGGGGAAAAAAACAACAGTGGAGCTGTCAAAGCCACCTGCAATGACAGAGCGACGGGCTCCCGTCACCACTCCCCGGGCCTCCCAGTTCAACATCCAACTGGGCTCTTCTCTCAAAAAGAGCGGGGGGGGAAAAGGAAAAAAGAGASAGAGAAAAAAAAAAGAAACTGGAACTTTTTGGTGAGTAACCCGGTTGTTTCTGTGCTTCCGATTGGCAGCGTTAATCACTTCCTATTGGCTGATAGGAGGAACTTTTCCTTTCGAAATGGCACATTCATGCGCTGCGGCTTTTCTGTTTACACACATTTTGCTACCTTATGTCAACACTTGCTAATGAATAAATATATCACTCGGCTAACTGAAAATGAGGTCCTGGCAAAGGCAGATTGGATGTTTGAAACCCTGCTAATAGATTTATCCCAACGTCTTTGCAGGAAACCCAAGGCAAGCGTTAACCCTTCTCTCCTGGAGCTTCACGCAGGCACAGAGCCCCCCGAAAAACCCTTCGCAGAAGGGTTTCCATCYAGCACGGGCACTGTCAGCAGGTAAAAATAAACCAAAAGGAGGAGGAAATCTCCACAGCCAGAGCTTTCCAGGGAGCAATCCCTCGGCCAGCCAGGAAAGGGCCAAAACGATGAGTCCTGCCCCCAAACAACCCTCCCTCTACACTTGGCAAGAGGCCTTTGGGAGCCAGCCGGCTCCCAAGCACAAGCAGCGCTTCAGAGGGATGTTGCCCGGAACACTGATACCCCCACGTTAATTAAGGCCCGCTTATCTCCTGTTTTTGCAAAATATCGCACGCTTTGCAACCCAACCGCTCGCTAAACAGCTCTGGCAACTCCCGCTGGGCACTTCCCTGGGAAGAGCCGAGAGAGGCAACAGGGGCCAGCAAAATCCCATCCCTGGGGGGACCCCAGGCCCCCGCTGGATGGAGCCTGGCACCCAAAACTCTTCTGTTAACCAAGCAGGAGCCAATCTTTTGGAATGGGCCTATTCCCGACTCCATCTCGACATGACGGAGCTGCCCGGACTCCTCCTCATCCATGAAGTCCCGGGAGGGGGGATGGAGAGTCAGGAGGTGGGGCTGCCCCTCCCGCCTTCATCCCCCTTTCCGACTTCATCCCCCTTTCCGATTTTCAGCAGCTCTTTCCGCCCCGCCAGCCCTACTTATATCCCACTGCCGGCCACTGCTTTGTGTAGGTGACCGCTTGGCCCCAAACGGGCTTCGCAACAGGCTTAAAAATGTATGGAAAATAAAGGGCGGAATAAAGATCAGGCTTTTCTATCCTCTTTCCTCACATTTTGCCACCTGCCCGGACAGGATGAGGCTGCCGTAAAGCACAGAAAGGTCCCCGCGAGCCACACGTGCCAAGTCTCCCTCAGCTTCCCTCAGCTTCCGAGCACCGAGCGACTTTCCCAAACAACCCGGCCGCGCCGAGCTGAATTCCTTTAAAAAACCCTGCCCRTGGCGGGCGAGCTCGGGAGCGCGCGGCCGGCGCGGCCTCGGCGCCTGGCTCCGTGCCCCGCGCGCTCCACGCGCCCCGGCGCCCGGCTCGCGTCTTCCCTCCGCGGCCATCCCGGCTCCCGGAGCGAGCGGCCTAGGCTGCCATTGCAATCCCGCCTGGAGTTTCCTGCTCTCCGTTTTTTTAAAAATCCGAGTCTGTGCAGAGGATTTCTTAAATCATGCATTAATTCTTCCAGAGGGGGGAGGAATGGAGGGGGGGGGTCAGACACACACACAAGCAGCTCCAAAGTGAAAATGCATGGGAATAACAAAGGCAGGAGACTTTCCTCGGAGAGAGGGAACAGCAGCATGCATTTTAAGGGAAAAAAAAATGGGGGGGAAAAARGCAAAAGAAAAAAAGCAAAAAGGGGAGAAAAAGCTCTACTCACCCGTTGGTTTGAGAAAATCCATTGGATATCTGGAGTAGGGTGGAGGGGGAGACTCTGGAATGAGAAAAGTACAGAGAAAATAAAGGCCGAGCCATGAGAAAGAAGAGGAAAAAAAAAAAAGGAGAAAAAAAAAAAAAAAAGAGATAGGAACTTATGATAACAGTGGCATTCTTTTAGCCAAACTGTTTGTCTTAGCTCTGGGGGTTGGAGGCAGGGCAGCGAGGCGGTGATTGCCTTGATATTTAGCTGTCAGATAAACAAAAGGGGCCGTCTGGCGCCAGGCTCGCTGCTATCTGCCGCGCGGGCCGTCTGCGCCGGGGCCGCCGCGGCCGCCGGGCCGCCCGGCCCTAATCCCGGCCCCGCCGCCGGCCCCCCCGGCGCACCGGCACCGAGGGGGGACTGACACGGGGGGACTGACACGGGGGGGATGCAGGCACACAGGGGGAACCGAGAGAGAGGTGGGAAATGCACGGCTAGAAATGCCTATATGGGAAATATATAGGGGGGATACATGTATATAGGGAGATTGGCGTATGTAGGGGAAGTATATATGGGGAAATGCGTATTGTGTATGTGGGGAAGGCATGTACATACACATGGGAAATGCATATATATGGGGAAATACGTATGTTGGGGAAATAACTTAGGGGAAATASATGTATATGGGAAACATACATATATATGGGAAATACTAGGGGGGTATATGTATAAAGGGTGTATGCATGTATGGGAAAGATATACATGGAGGGATATAGGTATGGGGTATATGTATTTAAGGGAAACATATACCTTTGGGGGTGTATGTATAGGGGGATATATGTATCTATAGGGAATATATACATATATATGGGTCTATGCATAGAAGGATACACATATAAGGAGTATACGCATATGTGTATAAATATATATATATACACACACCATGGGGATGTATGTATAGGTGGGTATATGTATCTATGGGGAACACACATCTATTGAGGGGCACATATAGGGCAATATATGTATCTATGGGGAATATATGCAYATAGAGGAGTGCATCTATAGGGGGATACAAGTATCTATGGGGAATATCTGCATATAGAAGGATATATGCATGGGGGGGTATAGCTATGGGGAACACATCCATCCGGGGGGTGCATGCACGGGGGAAAGGAGCACACGGGGAGGCGCCTACCTAGCTCGCAGAGCCGGCTGAGGTGGTGCGGGTTGCAGCAGAGCAGCTCCGGGTGCGCCTTGCCATAGGAGTCGCAGGCGCAGAGGCGCTTGAGCTCGGCGCCGGGCCGCAGGTCGGGCCAGCGGAACACCTTGCAGAGCAGCAGCGGCAGCGGGTACCAGTGGGCGCCGAGGCGCGCGCCGGCCGCCTTGGCGGGCAGCAGCAGGCAGGGCGTGCGCGCCGCGCCGCGCGACTCCACGGCGCGCAGCAGCCCCTCGAGCTGCCGCTCCTTGAGCCGCTTGAGCACGGCGTGGGTCAGCGCCTTGAGTTCCGCCTCCGCGCCCGGCGGCGCCCGCCCGCGGC